AAAAGAAAATCTAAAAGTAAAAGTGCAACAGCTCTGGAAGTATTCTATGATATCGGCACATTTGCACTCAGCGAAAAGATCTTCTAAATCACAATGTAGATACTTATGGTTAGCTGATGAACAATTTGCGATAATACCAACTAGATGGATTCGAAATCAAGTAAAGGTTTGGCTTATAGATCAACCTGAACCTAATGAGTATGAATATTTTGTGGACGAAATAGTGTATCAACATAATAATCGATCATGGAAGGTTCGTCCAATACAATATCGGCACTGGCATCCATCTGAAACTATGGTTTTACCTCCTATACCATCCGGTTTTCGATGTTTACGAATCTTTATTGATTTATATTATGACGATTTTGAGACCTTCAGAGATGTTTACCACTCACTTGGTGGTGTTTATATTCAGTTTGGGAACCTACCATTTTATTTGCGAAAGCTATTGAAAAACCATTTTCTTATAGGTTTTGTACCTTTAGGCGCTAACTTTGAGGACTTTATAAAACCATTCATAGCAGATATGCGCCAACTACAAAACAGTATTCAAATGGTAATGCAATCAAATTATACATTATTTTTTTCCTATATAAATAAACTATTTTTTAAATTTATTTATGTTATATTTATTTAATTTTTTTTTAATTTTTTTTTTTTTAAAAAAAAAGAGTATGTATAATGGAGAAAAAGTTTATATCAAAGGTGGTTTGGAAGTAGTTACGGCTGATTTGCCCCAAGGCAATAACCTTTGTGGAGTCAAACGCTATAATGCTAACCGTGGTTGTAGAAGTTGCGAAGCTAATACATCTGAATTAGCTGACCTCAACTACGATAATATATGATATTCTCGCTATCACCACATCACAGATATTCAATTTTCTGAAATACGATCACAAAGGAATTTCTTAAACAAAATGAAAGTTGCTGCAGAATACGGCTTGTGCTTAAAAAAAAATATTTTAGACTTGTTATATCGTGATCGACATCAGCAATACTCTCAAGATCTCTACTACGCAATGGCAGGAAAGGTGAAAAAATTATTGGAGTATATGATTACTCTTTTTAATGATGAAGGGGTCAATATTTTTTTAAAAATGTGGAAGTCAATTGAATTACCAAAGTCTTGGTCAAAATTGCCTAATCCTATTACACACCAGAAAAGTTTCATGATGCCAGATTTGTTTCGACTTGCAATGTTAATGCCTCATATTTTGAATTGCTTCTTAACAATTAAACATATTAAAGAGAATGCACTTAATGACCTTTGGAAAACAATAAAATGTAAACATCGTGTTCAAGTGATTAATTTAATCATAAAGTGTTGGGTGTCTCTTTCTCTTTCCATAAAGCAGTCATTTGCTATCTCATTCCTAAAAGATAATAATTTTGAAACACTAAAACGAACATTGAAAAAAGAACATGATTATTTAATTAAGGTAATTATGGGTCTAGTAGGAAATC